TAAACACTCATCACAGGGTCCACATCCAAGCCCTTCGGATAAAAGCTCTGCCGCGCGATGTCACTGGTGCGATGTCACTGGTGCGATGTCACTGGTGCGATGTCACTGGTGCGATGTCACTGGTGCGATGTCACTGGTGCGATGTCACTGGTGCGATGTCACAGTGTCAAACCCTGCAACTTTTGTAGATTACTGATGACTGAGATACATCGTTATTAGTTTATACATCATTCTCTTGATGTTCCTATAATACTGTTATTAATTATTGTGGTGCACGTTGGTACTGTTCTTGTAATCACAATTTCAGTGCAATGCCTTTTGGGCCTGACAGCAAATATGTCAAATTGCCACAAGAGGGCGCTTTGACAATTGATTTATAAGTCTCTACCGTTTTTTTGACCCAGTTTTAAAGCAGTCCTAGAAACATTTTATTTCATTGATTACCATCTTTTGCGTCATTCAGACAGTTTTATATGAATACAATGAATACTGAAGTAATATATTAAAATGCACTTTAAACAGAAAAGTGTAATTCTTAACAATGCCCAATGTAGTGCAAATGGTGTTTTTAACATTGGGCTCAAAAATCAACAGACGTGTCTCTTTTTTTTTTAATAAAAATGTTTATTTTGAAAAGATGTCATAAATCCAGTTATCTTTCCAGAGGCTTGAGTTTCCTAACCTTGAACACCTTCACCCTCTGTATAAAATCACCGTAGAAGAGCAAGACAATACGAAATAATTTCTCATTCTATGGCTATTTCAGTGCTGTGATAAAGGAAGTTTTATGTAACTGATTGCACCCGACACCCTGTCATCTTTGTGTGTGTCGTCACCACTGAAGTTTGGGACCCGTTAACGTTGTAACTGCCCTTTGTTTGGGGGGATCTGTGGTTCAGTACTTTATTTAGGGTGAGGCCCAGATAAAATTTCAAATCGTTGATTGAATTTTCTGACTCAGTTGTGCTGGATGTGTGTTTGGCCGCATTGTTCTTGTTGTGTATGAAGAAGATAATTTCAGAGTTTGGGCTGACATTGTGTGTGTTGTTTCTGCGTTGGTAGATTTCAGGACTGAAAAGGGTACGCTGCATTTGAATGGGTTTGAGGATGCTTCCTGTAACCACTACAGCTCCATCAGAGAGGGGAGCAGGCACTGGGACCTGTGAGAGTGGCCCACATTCACCAGTCCATCAGAGGGTATAGGACAGGGGACACCCTGGGTGGGATGCCAGTCCATCGTGAGGCACCTGCACTCTTACAGACTAGCGGCAATTGCCAGGTAGCCTAACTGCATGTTTTTGGACTGTGGGAGGAGACAAGGAGACCACTCTCCAAGGAGAAGAACGGAACATTCAGTCTGTGGAACATTCAAAAGCTGGGCAGCAGATATCAAATCATAGTGTCTTTTAAAGGCTCCAAGGTACATAAGGACCAAGAGATATTTCAGCTGAGTAATTCAGCGTAACTCAGGTATCTGTGCATCTGTATATGAGCATGACCTGTGCGACTGCAAGCCGCTCAGTATCGGGTCAATTCTGACAGCATCATCTGGAAACATTGTAATTGGAGAAATGAATACTTTCTGGAATTAGTTGTCACAGAATCAGTTCCCATTAAACATTGCATAAAGCCACACCTTCTGAAAAAAGCCACACACACAATGCTGTCCAAATTTACATAATGATTTCCCTGGCAGTGCATTTTAAAGACTTTAATATAAAAATCTCATCCTTGCCAGTGTTAATACAGTCATTTTCAGTGGGCGATACGACCTTGCAGTGACCTTGGCAAGACGATAGACCATATGGGGAAGGTAAGTGGTCTTCCTCCGCCTGCCCTCAGATTTCCAGAGTCAACATCACTGACGAGCTTTCAACCCGGCCCAGATCATCTTCTATGAGGACCAGAACTTCCATGGCCGGTGTGACTGCACTGACCTGCAAGCTCATTTCAGCCGCTGTAACTCCATCCACATGGACCGTGGGTTCTGGGTCCTCTATGAGCAGCCCAACTACACGGGCAGCCAGTATGTACTGACCCACGGCAAGTACCCCGACTACCAGCGCTGGATGGGCTTCAATGACAG